ATTTTCTCCCCTAGGAAGATACACTTGAACTTCTGTCCCCTAGGAGACTTCAGCTAAAAGACCAAAAATTCCGTCTGGCAGCCATGATGCTTAGATATTTCACCCTATTGACTTTCTCCACCCTCTCAAATAACAAAACTGAACTTGAGACAACATAACATAGGTGCTTGTTCATTTTTTTCAGATTCTCTGTAACTCATTGAGCAGGGGGGTCGGGTGGATCCTGACTCTCCAGGTGTGGTTGCAGGAGAAGCAGTGTGCACCACCTGGAAACCCGCTGACCCTCTGACCCTAGCCCTGCAGATCCAGAAACTCCGGGCTGGCTCCCAGACACGTGTTTTTCTCAAGCCCTCCAGTGATCGGATGCTCTCTGAAGTTAGAGAGCTGGTGTTAGAGACCCCAGAAGCAGGGACTACTGGTTGAGACAGTGCACATCATCTGGAGTATGGAGATAACCATAACCAATAATAGTAGCAGGACCTATTCCAGAATGTGTTTGAGATTACGATAATGGCTACCACCTCACATGAGGCCTTGTAGGGTAAGCACTGAACTGACCATTGCTATTTAGTCCATAACGGACACCACATCTGGTTAACTTCTTTATGCCCCACCATATGGCACTGCGGGGAGCAACGCCCAAGCGAGTTAATTTTGATGATGATGGTAAGAGAGGAGCCTGGTTGGCTAATGAAGTCCTCCGGGTAGGACACTGATGGGCAATTGTGAGTTATTTCTCCCCTCTAAGCTTAGTTTCTTCATTATAGAGAAAATACGTCCTTTACAAGGTCAAGAGAAGGGTTCAATAACAGTCCCTGCCATTGTGTGGACTTTAAGTTCTTCCTTCCCGTATAAAACTGATAGTTTTATCAGTGATGTGATGATCGTGGTCCCCAGGACAAACCAGTTTGTCCAGGAGACAACAGATCCTGAGGTCACCCAGTCCAGAAATCAAGGGCTCCTTGTTCCACGGCACTAGTAGAATGATGGGATAGGGTGCATTTAGGGCATCCCTAACAAGCTTTCTTGCCATGATAAACTCGAACATTGACTTGGAAGTCATTTAAGGAGCAGAATTTTTCATCTTTTGTACGTTGTCCTTTGGGATCAGACAAATCTCTCTATTATAATCTTTGACTATGGATTCTTTTCCTATCCAGTGTTGAGTCATAGAATGACATTCAGAGTTTACCTTCGGGATATTTTAGGGTTCACGTTTCTTTTAAATGTAGTGCCTTTTACGTCCCAAGATCCACACTTACGTAGTAAGGCTGTCTCTGTGGCCAGGGTCGCTCCAGGTTTCACTTCAGCAACAGCGACTCCAAGGACGGTGTGGCTCACAGCAACAAGAACTTTTTCTCCCCCTCATCACAAGCCAGCCGTGTTTCAGCTGTTGCTCATCTCTCCTCCGTTTTGCTCTCTGAGAGAGGGACAGGCTGATCTGAGACCCACCTGGGAGCAGTTGCTTGCCCTTCCACATTGAACCTGACACCTGCTTTCAGACATAAGCCACCCCATTGCCCACAGTCAGTCATATGGCCATAGCTGACACAAGGGAGTAGGAGACACAACTTCCATAGGGCCAGGCCCAGGAAAAGGGCCCTGTGTGGACAGACCCAGCAAAATGACCCAGCAAGTGGCTGGAGGCCACATACAACCACCTGGGCAAAGACAGCCCCGATTTCCAACTTCCTGTCTTTCAGACACAGGTCCCTGTGGTAGTGGAAGCCAACTGGTAAACTTGCCATCTTCTCAACTTGGTTCCCCTCCGATTCTTCTGATTCTGTTGAAGAAGAATGAGCCAACCCACAGCCTCCAAGGAGCTGTCACTCTTCCCAGCCATCCTGGATCCCCAGTGGCCCATGGGGAGAAGTGAGTTGGCTGAAGGAAAGTATCATTCCCCCCCAGAGAGAAGAACTGATGGCTTGCCCATAGGAACCTTCCCTGTCAACCTGGGCTTCCTGGCCACTTCTGAGGCCACCTGGGCAAAGCCACTGTGGCCTCAGCTGACACTGATGTGGTCACGAGCTGTCAGCCCAGCCTGGGAAGCGAGTCCTGGCCTCTCTGGAGACCAAGCAGGAGTATGGCACAGGGCCAAAGTCGAAGGCCCCGAGCAGGTGTTGTGTGGCCAGTCACAGGGTCCAAAGCAGGATAGCCACGCCTCACTGGTTTTATTTTCAATTCCTTTTAAACCCTTGTTGCTCAGTGAACCCCAGTAGGTTCTTGTTGGGCAATTTTTTTTCTACTTAATATTTAAACCCGTGTATACTTAAAATGAAATTTAATCTAGGTATTTGGGGTTTGTAGACAAAGAGAAGGAACATCAAAAAATTGACGTGGCACAAACATTTGACGTGCAAGAAGGCTTTTAAAGCCACTCTCCTTACAAACAGGAAGCTACATTTTGTCAGAGCGTGAAAGTTAGATCTTTCTCCTTTTCATGTTTGCCTGGAAATCCTAAGATCTGATGGCTCAGAGGTCACCCCTCCATGCCTCACCACCCCGCCCGGAAGGGCATGCATGAGATCGCTGGGGCTCTAGTGGGGGGACTCTAGCTTTTGGAAGCCACTGTCGCCCCTTTTTTTTCTACAAGTGAAAAAAAACCACATTGTTTTTCTGTTGGCATCTCTACTTGGTGGGTCCACCCTGGAGCACAGAACGAAGCTTTTTCAGGAGAGGCGTGTTGAGACTCCCAAAATTGGGCTTAACAGAACTCCCGCGGTCTTAGATCTCAGTGTTCTATTCACTAGGAAGGGAAAGAATTAGTCTTAAACTGAATATTTTGCCTAACAAAGCAGCCACATGACAATTAACTGGAGGAGCAGATTTTGAGACTTAGATAAAAGGTTCAAGATTCTAGTTAGTATTTTCATTAAAATTCCATCTTAATACACACTTAATGTACATATAATTGATACATTATTATAATTGTGTATTCAATATCCATTGAATTATGTATTCAATATTCATTGTGTGATAGATAATACACCATAAAATATAAAATCTATATAAAAAATGTAAATAGCATGTTTCCACTTTGATCACATTCTCCACATCTTTTTTTTTTTTTTAATGCAAGGAAACAGGTTTATTCAAGAGGCTAGCGGTCCTGGGGGAAAGCAGACATCTCCAGTCTCAGAAGTGCTCTTCCGGATTCCCGAGCTAGCAGGAAGAGCTTTTAAAGGGGAAAGGGCCATGGAGGGAGGTTAGGGAACACAGTGGGCAAACAGAGCTCCATAGCCTTGCTGTAAATCTCATACCTGGCCTTGGGCCGTTGGGCAGTAGGGGCCGGATATGCCTGGAGATGAGGAAGCAGGTGTTCTCGCTGCACACAGGCAGCTTGATTGGGGGGGGGTCAGGGAAAGTGAGGGGCACTGCTCTTCCCGGGGGAGTGGGGGAAACGCTGTACACACCTTCCGTGCAGTGGTTCCCAGCGTGTGCTTCTGGAAGGACAGCGCCAGCATCACCTGGGAACTCAGACATTCTCCAGACCCGAACCAGAAACACGGAGCCCCCAGACAGCTCGGACACAGCTAAGCTTGCACACCTGGGCCAGGTCAGGGGGGGCAGAGAGCCAGGGCGAAGGAGCTTCATCGCGCAGGTGCTCTGGTGAGGAGTGTGGGGGCGGGGGGTCCCTTCCCCGCTCTTGCCTCAGTGTCATCACGGCGGGGATGATGATGGTGCTTTCTCGGAAAGGTGGGGGTGAGAGTGGATTAGGTTCACACGTGTGCAGAGAGCATGTGGCTGGCATGCAGTGGGGAGTGTCGACGCTGGTGGGAGTTGTTGCTTATCTGAAACTCCGCCACTATTCCTACCTCTCTGAATCTTGACTCTCTTACTCTATTATCACTGTCCGGTGTAGCTATCAGCCTCTTTCCCATTTTGGACCACTTCTGACGACTCTACGTTAACTCTGTCATTGCCCATCATTTGCTTACATTTCTTCTAATTGGCTAACAGCTTTCTGGCCATTAACAGGTGGGTTTCTCTGCCAGAACAGCATGTTCCGGAGAGCTGTGGCTGGTTCCTCTGATTCTCCATTCTTGTAGGAGCCTCTTTCCCGGATAGTCTGTTCTTCCCTGGAGCAGGTGTTGGGACTGCCTTTTGCTTTCCTCATTCTCATGGTTTCGCCCTAACACTGCAAGTGCAGCTCCTCACATAGCCAAGTGCCCTTCCTACGTGCCGGCTGTTGAGCTATGTCTCAGAAAGGTATTGTCTTTCCTTTACCCCCAGAAGATGAACGCTGCACCACATAAACTCTGGGTAACTTTACAGCACACGTCTGCCACAGGCTTGACGAAGAGGGTCGTGATGGACCTCAGCAGTTGCAAAGACTTCCGTTCAGTAAAGAACTTGCCATTTTGAGGATTTCAATCCTCAATCAAGTTCTGCAACTTGGAACAATACAGTATAAACTGTAGAAATAAATACCAATTCCAGAGATCAAAGAAGACTGCTAATGGTTTGAATAGAGTTTGCTTATCTCGGGAGTTAAGAGAGAAGAACTCACAAGTCAATATCCTTTTATTATTCTTCTCATTCTTAACTCTCGGGACAACTACATTGTCCCTTAAGACTCTGGAGGTTAAACCAAGTGGATGGAGGCATCACTAAAGAGAAAAAGAAAAAAAAAACAAAAAACCTAAGGCCCTAACATAGAACTATATGAAATACAAGTGTCTTTCAGCAATGAAGTGAATTTCATGCAGGAAGTCTGTAAGGAACAAAATACTACGAATTAGCACATAATGAGGCATAAATAATAAGGCAACAGGTGAGCCTGACAGGTGCAATAAGATCTTTGGGCTGCATACAGCACGGACGATTTGTTTTCCCAAACATGCTGAGCTACAGTGGAGGATCTAGCCAATCTGAGACTGGGAATAATTTTAACTATAAAACTGGTGATAGGTAACTGGTGAATCAGAAAAGAAATATGAAGTGTGTGTGTGTGTGTGTGTGTGTGTGTGTGAGAGAGAGAGAGAGAGAGAGATCTGGCCCATGGTTGATACATGGTTTCAGACACCTGTGTCCCACGCAGGAGTAGCTTGGTTCAACACCTGGCTCCAGCTCAGGCAGCAGGTGACAGCACAAGTAATTGGGTCCCTGCCACCCATGTGGGAGACCTGGGCTGAGTTCCCCAACTTCTGTTTCTCAAATTTAACTATGTAATATATATACATATCTATGTGGGGTAGACAGATTGGTAAATACACGGATGGGTATAAAGAACTAGGAAGAATTCGTTCAGAGAAGTAGGATGCGAAAGAACCTCCTGGTCTCAGCATGGCTTACTGGCACCGTGGAGGACGGAGGGGATTTTATGGTGGGCTGACAAGAGCATGGGTCTGGCTTCCAAAGATCTGGAGCCCACGCACCCCAAGGTATCAGTGTGTAAAGTGTGTGTCCAGCGGGACGGTTCTGACCAGCGTTGCCACACTAATATCTGTGACTCAGCAGGGGCAATGTGCTTCCACAGGCGGTAAAAATATTCTAGACTCTTCCCTTCCAGCGCTCACTGTTTACTTCCCCTACACTTCCCCTTCCTGCCTCCGTTTGCTGCTCGGCTCATAGGCTCCTAGCGGGCCTCGGTGGGGGTGGGTTAACCCTGTCTTTCCAGGGGGCTTTGCCACCACACTCCCGCCAGGGCTCAGAATCTACAGTGAGGGCTGTGGTTGGGAGTTCAGTTGGATTCTGGAAACATCCGTGAGTTTCCACCCTGTTTCTGGGCACTGGGCCAGATGGCCAGGGACTGGAAGGTAACTGCCAGGGCCGTGGCCCTTAGGGGGCCCTTGGGAGCCAGCTTTATTGGGGTGCGCTTCGTGACCACCTGTGAACACCACGTGTCCCTCTCTCTTGCAGGCAGTAGCGGAAGCCCATGGTAGCCAGGTGGGTGAAGGGGAGCAAGCACGTTCTTTCCACCTGCCTGGAAGAAGACTTCTCTGACCTGCCGAGCAAGCGACAGGTAGTGTTGGGGCTAAGGGGCCTAGGGTGCTAGAGGGAGGGAGGAGGACAGAGTGGGCGGCGCACCCTTGGGCCCTGGGCTGTGCCTCCCTCAGGCCCTGTGGGGGTGCCCCCTGCTGATGCCTCTCACCCCAGCATTAGGTAGGCAGGATTATAGCAAAAGCGCCCCAGCAGAGAGAGAGGAGACTCAGTTCCACGTGGGCCTGGCCTGCTGCCCGTTTGAGAAAGAGGTGGAAACAGCAGCTGCGTGGCGCAGCGTTCCGGGTCGCGGGGCCAGGTTTTCCAGCCTGGAGCAGGCTGAGCTGGGGGCTGGCCTGTACCCACAGGACCCCTGGATAGCACTCCGACTGGAAAACCTAAGCCTCTGCTTGTACTTCAGTGGATTGATTTGTGTGGTTTTCCCCAAAAGTTCTTCTTCTTCTTTTTTTTCCCTTTCTAAGCACATGCAGCTACTTGAACGTAGGCTGCATTTGTCGCTGGCAGCTCATGTTACGCGCTTGTCTATGCGTTGGGGCGTGTCAGCACTGTGCGTCCGTTCCAGGCTTTCCTTGTGGCCGCTTTCCTCTGGGTTAGACAGAGGAGCGCTGCTGGGGTGACGACCAGGAAGGCCCGCGTCCAGCAAGTGTATCCTGTACTTGGCTTCCAAGCGAGTCCCAAGACAAGTAGAGGCACCTTTAACAAGTAAGCGAGATTCTGAATAACCCATGGCCCTTCTCTGAAGGACAATGAAAGAGTGACTTTCCTTTCCACGAAAAAAAAAAATCATTTCAAGGATGTGCCCTTGGTAATGGAACAGGAAAATGAAAATGCCGCAGAGCCTCCTAAGCAGGTGCTTCGCCCTGGCAGGGATACAGTCTCCAGTTCCTTGGAGGGATTTGCTCAGGGGATCACTTTCCAAACTCCCATTGAGATAATGCTGCTAGAATAGGGGAGATTACTGCATGAATCAGGCCAGCGTGTGTATCAGTTCCTTTGTAAAAGGGGACGGATTTTCTCTTGTTCTTCCGACGCCACTGAGATGGAAGACAGCATGTCAGCCAGGTAAGGTTTCCCTGTAATCACTCAGATCCTCTGTTTCAAGGAAATGGGGCCACTGCTCTCAGGCACCGTGCAGGTGCTGTAGGATGCCCGCGGCCTCATGGGCAGCCTGTTGCTGCCTGCTGACACAGCACCGAGCGCGCCTGGAGCTGAGCGCGGGAGCCCAGCGCTCTGTGTAGGTGGGCTCCTTCTGCTGCAGTGTTAGGTGCATACTCCGCTTTTTCATCCGCTCGTTAAAATAGGTTCTTCATGCAGGCTCTACTGAGTTCTGAGGAGGAAGGCAGAACTCTTGTGCCATAGCTCAAACGACGCTGGCAGTCGTTTTCCGAGAGTCGCCTGCATGTAGAAGAGCCACAGATAGAGCTTAATTACTTGCCGTAAGTGTACTGTGGTCATTTGATAGCTGAGTTTGTTCCACTATCACCAAGAACAGGGGGAGGGCACAGATTTTAAATTATTGATTGCATTGGGGGACATTGAATTGCTGCTGCAAAAAGTGTCATATTAAAGTTAGGTTTGAAAAATTATCAATGCTACCCAAGTTCTTTTTTTAAAAAAAGAAATTTGAAAGCAGAGTTAAAGAGGGAGAGAGGGGGGCTGGCACTGTGGCATAGTGAGTAAAGCCGCCACCTACAGTGCCGGCATCCCACATGGGCGCTGATTCGAGTCCCAGCTCCACTTCTGATCCAGCTCTCTGCTGTGGCCTGGGAAAGCAGTAGAAGATGGCCCAAGTCCTTGGGTCCCTGTACCCATGTGGTCCTCTGGTTCATTCCCCAAATGGCCAAAATGGCCCAAATCTCTAGGGCTGGGCCAAACCAAAGCCAGGAGCCTGACACTCCATTCAGATCTGCCACGTGGGTGGCAGGAGCCCAAGTCCATGAACCCAGTTCCACTGCTTCCCCAGCAGGGAGCTGGATTGGAAGTGGAGCAGCCGGGACTTGAACCAGCTCTATGGAAGGTGGTGGCTTACCCCGGTGCACCATCTCACTGGACTTGCTTCCGGAGCTTCTTAAAATTTTACCAATTTTCTCCACTGCACGTGAAGACGTATCCTGATGGATGGTGGATCTGAGCTGTATCAGAGCTAGAGTTATGCTTAGTCAAATAACGTTTTAATTTTCTGTCATGGGGAATCATGAAAGCTGAATGTAAACAAATACTCCTGATACTCAAGGATTTAGCCTAAGAGTTCGCTATCACAAAGAAAAGCATGAAGCCAGTTTTCGAGTGCGAGGTTCTGTTTCGTGTACAGGGTTCATTTCATCGTCACAAAATCCCGAGAAATAGGCTTTCTTCCTCTTCCCAAGATGAGGGAGCTGAGGGCCAGAGCTAAGACAACTTGCCTGGATCACGCAGCTGATGAACTGGGGCGTGGATGCCTAACCCACCTTGGCTTTGCCTCAAAGTCCCGGTGCCTCCGGCTGCCCCAGTGCAGGTCAGCTGAGCTTCCTGCCCAGCTGGCCCTGCATCCACAGGGTTCCCGTCTGCAGTTTCAAGCAGCCATGGGTCAAAAACACTTAGGAAAAGGGGAATTCCATATTGAATGTGTACAGGCTGCTTTTCTGGCCATTATTCCCTACACAATATAATATAACAACTTATTTCAGTGGTGCTGGGTGTTATACGTAATGTGGAGGTGACTGACAATATATGGGGTGATTCTTTATTCTGTGCAAATCGGACACCCTTTGAGAAAACAGGGGCTGGTGCTAGTTAAGCTTCTGCCTGCCATGCCAGCCTCCCATAGGGGCACCAGCTCAAGACCCAGGAGCTCCACTTCCCATCCAGCTCCCTGCTAATGTGCCCCACGTGGGAGACCTGGAGGAGGCTCCTGGCTTCTGGCTTCAGCCTGGCCCAGCCCTGACCATTGTGGCCATTCAGGGAGTGAATCAGTGATGGAAGATCTCTCTCTCTCTCTCTCTCACTCCCTCCCTCCCTCCCCCTCTCTTCCCTTCTCTGTGTTTCTTACCTTTCAAATAAATAAATAAATCTAAAAAAAAAAAAAAAAAGAAGGTAAACAGACTTGAGTTTCCATGGGTCTTGGTGCACACAGGGCATCGGAGATCCAGTTCCCCCTGGCTATGGAGGCTCATCTGGCCATCCATACTAATTTTACGTGATTGTTCTGTTTGCATATTCCAACAGTTCTACCACTTAGGAAAGTAATGGAATGTCTTTCCTGGTGGTCTCCTTAGGTGCTTCTGAGAGCCTGAGCATGGATGCCCTTCATGTGAGCCCCCCCAGTGCCCCTCTGGGGAAGCACACTGCCGGGGCCATGCTCAAGGCCCACCGGCCCCGGGTCATGTCCAAGAGCGGTCACAGCAATGTGAGGATCGACAAAGTGGATGGGATATACTTACTCTACCTGCAAGACTTGTGGACGACCGTCATCGACATGAAGTGGAGGTACAAGCTCACGCTGTTTGCCGCCACCTTTGTGATGACCTGGTTCCTTTTTGGAGTGATCTACTACGCCATTGCATTTATTCACGGGGATTTGGAACCCAGTGAGCGGATCTCAAATCACACCCCCTGCATCATGAAAGTGGACTCTCTCACGGGGGCCTTTCTCTTTTCCCTGGAATCCCAGACAACCATCGGCTACGGCGTCCGTTCCATCACAGAGGAGTGTCCTCATGCCATCTTCCTGCTGGTGGCTCAACTGGTCATCACGACCTTGATCGAGATCTTCATCACGGGCACCTTCCTGGCCAAAATCGCGAGACCCAAAAAGCGAGCTGAGACCATCAAGTTCAGCCACTGCGCAGTCATCACCAAGCAGAACGGCAAGCTGTGCCTGGTGATCCAGGTGGCCAACATGAGGAAGAGCCTCCTGATTCAATGCCAGCTCTCGGGCAAGCTCCTCCAGACCCACGTCACCAAGGAAGGGGAACGCATCCTGCTCAACCAAGCCACGGTCAAATTCCACGTGGACTCCTCGTCGGAGAGCCCCTTCCTCATCTTGCCCATGACCTTCTACCATGTGCTGGACGAGACCAGCCCGCTGCGAGACCTCACACCCCAGAATCTGAAGGAGAAGGAGTTTGAGCTCGTGGTCCTGCTCAACGCCACTGTGGAATCCACCAGCGCCGTCTGCCAGAGCCGAACCTCCTACATCCCGGAAGAGATCTACTGGGGTTTTGAGTTCGTGCCCGTGGTCTCGCTCTCCAAGAACGGCAAGTACGTGGCTGACTTCAGCCAGTTCGAACAGATCCGCAAGAGCTCAGACTGCACCATCTACTGCGCGGATTCTGAGAAGCAGAAACTGGAGGAGAGGTACAGGCAGGAGGATCAGAGGGAGAGGGAGTTGAGGACCCTTTTGTTACAGCAGAGCAACGTCTGATCCCAGGGTGTGGGCTGCCTGCACCTCTGAGAGCTATTTCACCTGGGTGCTCCCTTCAATCCCTAAGGTCGCTACGAGAGCGAAACACGAGGGCCCGCTTGGAAAAACCGCAGGGACGTACAACGTCCATCTTTGACTCTGACAGGGTGGCCAAGCAAGCGTGGCCAAGTTCTAGAAAGTTCCTTGGAGTGCCTTGTCTGAACTGAACTCTCAGAACTCAAACTTTCAGAAGTAGGGCTTCCCTTTGAAGAGCGTGGTCTAGAGCAGTTGAGAAAACGTCTTGTTAGACGGAGAGACATTCAGCAATGCTGATATTGAGGGGAAATGTACTTCCAAGGGAGAATATCAGCTTTAGTATAAGGTATTTATTTAATCTGGGGTTCAAAGACATTATGGCCAAGGGTTGAAGTGGGGGTCAGTATTCACTTGCATCATTGCTCTCAAACACACTCCTCTTGTTCCAGCAGAGAGAATGTTCTGTGTGATCATGATTGTCTGGGAATGCCCAAAAAGCACTGGTGGGGACACTGGACACTCATGGAGTGTAGTAATTGCATTTTTACATTTCTTCAGTGGCCTGAACTGAGAGAGTGAAATCGACCATATTCGTAAATAACAGATGTGAAGAATCTCCCGATGGCGCTCATGCTATTATTCCCTTCTATCCAAAATGTGGAGCCCGGAGCATGTAAGAGCTTTTTAGCAGTATAGATCCCTAGAGCTCAGTGGAACGTGCAGGATCAGTATCTGTGTCTTAACCCCCCCCTCCGGAATTTGGGTACAAACGGAAGCTGGATGAGCTGTGCTCTGGACGGTATTTTCCAAGTCACTTTCGGAAGCCACATGGAAAACCGACTGTGGGTCCCACACCCAGGACTTCCAGACCCGCCTTCCCTGCGGGCCAACATCGCCTCCGTCCATCGTGTTTCTTATCTGGAGGAACTGCGCAGAATTGTGCCCTGACAGCCCAGGAGCAAAGTAAAACTCCTGAGAGTATCGGCTGTCTCAGTCGTGCTAAGTGCAAGGCTTGCTGATCGTGGTGGGCACCGAAGAAAAATGAAACTGTGTAACAGAACACGACAGATGCTGGTTTGTAAGGTTCTGTGGGGCTGAGGGCAAGAAACTTGCAAACAAGATGACTCCCCCATACGCGAATAAAATCTGATACTCTTATCACACGTAAAGAACACTCTCTGTATTTCGAGTAAGTCTTTACATCTCAGCGTGTGAGAAGCAGCACCTCATTTCTGGCAAGACTGAGAAGTCTGGCACCCGTAGTGAGTCAATGGGCTGGGACTGGCTACGTGCCTGACGGGGACTCTCATTCCACCCAAAACAAGAGTGTGTGTACTCAGCCAAGCAAAGATGGCCGTGCATACTCATCTGTGTGAGCCCCGCCCCACACATGTGCATGCACACATACACACATGCACACATACACACAT